TTCCCATGCATAATCTTATAAACCTCGATCATGTCACCCCTCAGTCGTCTTTTCTCCAAGCTAAAGAGCCCTAAGCGCTTTAACCTTTCCTCATAGGGAAAGTGTTCCAACCCTTTTATCATCCGAGTTGCCCTTTTCTGCACTTTTTCCAAAGCTATAATATCCTTTTTAAGGTGTGGTGCCCAGAACTGCACACAGTATTCCAAATGAGGTCTTACCATTGATTTATATAGGGGCATTATTATATTGGCTGATCTGTTTTCAATACCCTTCCTAATAATCCCCAGCATAGCATTGGCCTTCTTTATTGCAGTCACACACTGTCTCGACATTTTCAGTGAGTTATCCACTACAACTCCAAGATCTCTCTCTTGCTCAGTCTCTGCCAGTTCAGACCCCATCAATGTGTATTTATATTTAGGATTTTTGGCTCCAACGTGCATCACCTTGCACTTGGCCACATTGAACCCCATTTGCCATGTTGACGCCCACTCGCCCATCCTTGACAGATCCCCTTGGAGTGCCTCACAATCCTCACTGGTTTTCACCACCCTGAACAACTTTGTATCATCCGCAAATTTAGCCACTTCACTGCTTACTCCCATCTCCAAATCATTAATGAACAAGTTAAAAAGCAGTGGACCAAGTACTGATCCCTGCGGTACCCCACTGCTTACCACCCTCCACTGAGAAAATTGCCCACCTACACTCACTCTCTGTTTTCTATGAACTAGCCAGTTTTTGATCCATAAAAGGACTTGTCCTTCTATCCCATGATTTTTGAGCTTACTTAGGAGCCTTTGATGAGGAACTTTATCAAAAGCTTTCTGGAAGTCAAGGTAAATAATATCTATTGGATCCCCCTTGTCCACATGTTTGTTCACCCCTTGTCCACATGTTTGTTCATTCCTTTTGGTAGACCTCTGACTCCCCTCTCATGTCATTCCTATGAGTCTTCTGGAAGCAGAATTTCAGCAGGCATTGTGGGGTGTAGTGAGAGACAAGGAAGACACACTACACTGACAGAGATCCCTTCTGTTTGTAGCAAACCTCTAGTGAGGCCAAGCCATAATGATCACAGAACACAAGAAGTATAATGCTTCAAAGAAAGATATTGGGAGCTTCTTAACTCAGAAGAATGTAACTATTGGAGTGGATCCTATGCCCATTCACAAGTTCCACTGAACACAATTTGAAACCTTCTTCCAGCCTAAGGAGACTGGAAATAAGTGGATCTCCCTTTGCAGGAAGAGCTGCTAAATTTGGAGGAAAGCTCCCAGAGAATGGTTAGATCCGCCCCACTAATCTGCTGAAGAACATGTCTTATTCCAGAATCTTATCATCAGCTTCTTAGCACTGTTCGTTCTAAGGAGTCAGGAGTGAAGCGCTGCTCCTGATATCCTTTGACTGCTTTGGGTTCACAGAGAGCAATCCTAAAGAATCCTACTCAGGTCTATTCAATGTAACCTGCTTCCAGGAAAGCGTTTTTAGGATTGCACTAGACCAAAGTTTGACTCCAGTGGCACCTTTAAGACTAACAAATAAACAAAGAAATAAAAATGAATAAAAGAGTGTTGGTCTTAAAGGTGCCACTGGGCTCAAGCTTTGTACTACTGCTTCAGACCAACATGGCTGCCCCACCTAAATTTAGGATTGCACTGACAGTCTATTTATTATTTTCCCAGTTACCCAAGCAAAAACCACTGTTCATATTTACACAAAGAAAAATGCATCTGATCTGACTTACTTTTGGACAATAGATCTTTGGAACTTAAGACACAAAACAACAGAATCATACTCAACCAAAAACAAATAACTAGATTACTCTAGCTACCAGTACTGTCTTGGATTTTTCTCCCTCATAATATTCTTTTTAACATTCCTTTTGGGAACCAATCATTAAGTATTGTCTGGCTCAATTTAAAATTAAATGTAAGCAGTAGAGAGTATTGTAGTTCTTCCCAGTTTTATCGTAAAAGTCTCGATGTCTGTGGGTCCAGCTTCTTTCCCCCAGTTGCAAATTCCTTAAGGGCTTTTATGGCAACAAAGAGTTAATCAGTAAAAACTTTGAGACAGGTGATTTAAGCCTCTATCTAACCCATTATTTCACATGCTTTGACATTACTTAGGTGACTAGCTAGCAAAAAATGTATGATGTCTCTCTTCCTTTGATAAAGTCAGTAACTACGGTCTTTGATTATTCCCCTTCTTTACTGATTTCCTTGCTGCAATTGCAAATATTATAGTGTTAATACAATTACAAGAGAACATTGATTAAAGAGAGGAGCTGGGTAAAGGATCAAGGTCATTTTGTTTTGACTCTGGTACTGAGAAGTTCGTTTGCCAATAATAGTATCAGAGGTGTCATGACTGAGTGGGACAGGGTGGCAGAATGGCTGGAGACTGAGCCATACCATCAAATACCAGCAAAGCACACAGAATTGCTGTAAAATGCATGGAGTAATTAAATGATGTCTGTCTGGTGAATCTTGATAGCAAGAGCTGGATTTAGCCATCTAAACAGAACAAGGTAGTGGCTGCAGCTACCTGTGAAATACAAGTTGCCACCGCACTGTAGGTACTTCTAAAGGTGATCCATTCTGCCACAGACTATTGGGGTGGCAATTTACATGCTGGCAAGAAAGGGAAGTAGGAAAACTAAAGAAAAAAGACAAAGGTTGGGAAATTAATATGGTAAAGACATTTCGTGGACAATCCAAAGATAGAAAGGTTTGGATGCTGCTGCAGAAAAGAACTGAGTGGGAAAGTGTGACTCTGCATGCACAACAGCACCCATCCTCTCAAAGTAGGGAAGGAGCCAGATTCAAAAGTCTTAGCTCCGCACATGCATGGGGTCCATTGTTGTGCCTGCACAAAACCCACAAACAAACACATCTAAAGAGATCTGTAGAATATATCAGTTGTATTAGGTCATTTGTCTCAAGCACATTTTAAAGGCTAACCATGGTTATATTTGGAACAAGCAGGGCCAGCCCCAGCTTATTTTGCACCCTAGGCGAGGATCCCTTCTGGCGCCCCCCCCCCAATGTGCCCACCAATTTTCAAAAATAAATGCATTTCAGGAAGAATGAAAAACACAAACAATCAAGGAACTGCCAGAGTATGGGGCCGGGTGCAGCTTGGTGCCCCTAAAGGCCGGCCCGCTCTAGGCGATCGCCTAGTTCGCCTAGTGAGTGAGCTGGCCCTGGGAACAAGAGGAGCTAGAGTGAAATCCTTAGAGACAGTTTCCTCATATAGCACAAAGGAAATTAACAAGCTACAACTAACATGGTGAGTACTAAAAGCTGGTATTAATGTAGAAAAATGAAGTAGAATAATAAAACAACTCAGTTATCCAGTGGTAGTGGTGGAAAGTGCCATCTAGCAGCTGACTTATGGTCACCCTGTAGGGTTTTCAAGGTAAGAGGCATCTGGAGGTAGTTTGCCATTGCCTGCCTCTGCAAAGAGACCTTGGGCATCCTTGGTGGTCTCCCATCCAAATACTGAATAGGGCTGACCCTGCTTAGCTTCTGAGTTCTGACTAGATCGCCTAGTCTGGGCCATCCAGGTCCAGGCAATTATCTAGTTCACAAGAGCAATTATATACCATAATATTATATATGTGCAGTATTGAACATCAGGAATGGTTTCAGTAGATCCATCCTGTGTGTCTGAGTGTGAATGGGAGCATAAGGAACTGCACTCATGCCACATTCTGGCATATATACAAAATAAGGTGCTTTCCATTAAATACAAAACTTCCTAGATTTTAGCCTTATATCCTCATGTCAGCTATTCTAATGGATATCCTGTTTTGGCATAATCACTGGCGGGGTAACGTCCATGTAAAGCAATAAGCACGTTATTTGTATCTTTACTGTATAATAATGTGATCATTTGATTTTATACTCTAGAGCTCTCATGATACTTTTGCTTAGGTTGGAGGAAAAAAATATGTTTTTTTAGCTGGTTGAAGGTGATATGAAAGAGGCATCATTGGTGTGCAAGGGTGCGGTCACACAGTCCTTTTGATCGGGGTTCGCTGTTGTTCCCTCCCACATTTAAGTTTGCTGATCAGACAGGTGAATCTGCCTCCTGCACCGAAGAGGGCTCACTCCCACAATACTCCTGGGTTTTCCTGCCCCCTGGACAATCAAGTATTTTCCTGGCACTTGCGCTTTGAAAGCGTGGTTTCGCCCATCTGGACAGCCATCTTTCACAATGATTACGATTAGGGCCGTCTGACCGCTCTTTGTGGAATGTTTTTTAAAGTTTCTGGTTTGAGCACTTGGGCAAACATGCACTTAATAAATCCAGCAAGCTGCCTGCCCAACCAGCCCCGGAGGGGTGGGAAAAGGAAGACTGGCCAAGAGTGCTGCTGCACTCACAGCTCGGCTCATCAGGCTGCGGCAGAACCTCCACCACACCAAGTCCCTCCAGGCGATCCTGCCACCCACAGGCAGGAACAGCAGCCCCCCGAGCCTGCCCCATGGCTGGCAGGATCGCCTGGAGGGACTCGGCATGGTGGAGGCTCCGCCACAGCTCCAACAAGCTGAGTGCAACAGCCCTTTCGGCCAGTCTTCCTTTTCCTGCCCCTCCGGGGCTGGTCATGCAGGCAGCTTGCTGGAGCTGAAAGATGGCTGATTTTCTTTAGGAGCTGGCAGGCACGGGTGGTGGAAGAGAGGGGCCCGCTGCATCTAATCAGCCCAACTCGAAGAAAAATGTTCCCGATTAAATTAAAGAGGGAACAAAGCGGAATTACCTTCCTGTGTGACCACAGTCCAAGTGTGTGCACTCAGCTTACTGATATCTGTGGGAAAGAAGTTTTTCATGGTTATTGCATTGCTTTGAAAACCTGCCAAATGTATTTGACTGGAGGCAGAGAGTAGGACAAATGAAATAAATGGGTGTATGAATCATGAGCAATGATGATTCTGCTCTGCCTCTGTGGTCACTGTGCATGATGCTGTACTATATTATGCATGTCCTTTAATTTTCAGGAAGACTTGGTGCATACTATTGGTGAGAGCGCTGCACAGGGGGCAGCAGGAGTTATCCTTTGGGGAAGTATCAAGTATGCCAGCTCCAGAGTAAGTGAGTGTGGGTTAAGTTTTAGAAATCTCCCATCAGCTAAATGACGTAAGAGTTCTTTGAGCACCCAAGACCCCATAGCACTGTCACTCTCCATTGTCTTTACCTGGTGGAGACAAAAGCATGAGAAGTTAAGATTCTTTCTGGAAATTATATAGTAAACTCTCACACATTGTTAGATAGTATATTCAGAAAGCGTAGTATTTGTGGGTTTGATGGCAATGTTGCCTTGTGGTTAAAAGCACTGTTCCATCTGAGTCAGAAACGATTATGTAGGGGCAAAATTAGGAGGCAGCTTGTTCAAATGTTCATGCATATCAGCTTGATTACACTACACTCCCTTATGTGATAGTGGATAACAGAAAGTGTGAAGTAGCTAATGTAAGGCACTGTAAGGTGTCATTGGCGATGAAGATCCCATTTGCACTTTGAGTAATCACTTTCAGTAATATAACAGCACATGTACCAAGAGTCTGACAGAGTCTTTTTATAGAAGCAATATGGAAGAAGAGGAATGCAATGATTAACTGGGAGTTTAGAAAGACAGAGATGAGGAAGAGCTGGTGGGGTCCAGAAGGGAACCTTTTAGATCATTTTTGGACTTAGCAACACATGTCATTCATTACGTTTTCATACACCTAGGGCTCTTCCACATTACTGAAAACTAGGGATGCTGTGAATTTTGCCACAAACTTGTTTGACTGTCAAACTTACTGTGTTTGATAGTGGTGACCAGCTGTGAGCCAATTACTGAGTCCATTTGGTTCATGCCAATCACCATGAATACCTGCTGAACCAGTTTGCATAGGATTTTCCCAAAACTATGCATGTGCAGATACTACAAATTCAAACTGATCACCAGCCATTAATGTCACTAAGGAATACTTAGCTGAACACCAAAAGACAGCATTTATTGATGATTTACATGATTTTGTCAGTGATCTGTTTATTTAAACAATTGCTTGCTGAGCAGAGCAGTTACTCAGCAAGGATTAGGGAGGGGGAGGATAACTAATTGTAATGGCGTAATGTCATACATTCAAAAATGAATACCTGCAATTCCAAAAACAGCAAGATAGGCCTAGCTATATCCCCACTGATGTCACTGGTCTTAGAACTTTTCCTGATTGACAGGTCCTAGAGGTCTTCTTGAACCCTGCCCCTGTGCAGAGCCCTTCCTGCTATCAATCTTTCTCAAACTTACTGCCGGGGTGATGGTAGAGAGCTTCCAAGAACCGAAATAATAATACTGCCTCACTGTTCATATCCTACAACCAGGGCTCTTTTTGTAGAAAAAGCCCAGCAGGAACTCATTAGCATAATAGGCCACACCCTGACAGCACCGCTTATTAGCACATTAGGCCACACCCCCATGTTACTAGAAGTGTGGTTATCCAGCCACACCCACCTTTCCCTTCTTATTCTGTTTACCTTGTTTGTTGTCCCAGGGCTTTTTTTGTAGCAGGAACTCCTTTTCATGTTAGGCCACACACCCCTAATATAGCCAATCCTAATGAGTTTCTGATGTTGGTAGTGGTCTATTATGCTAATGAGTTCCTGCTGGGCGTGGCCAACTCAGGAGCCAGCTGGAACTCCGTTCCTGTGTGTTCCTGCCCAAAAATAGCCCTGCCTACAACATAGGAAATATGGACTAGGGCTGTCAGTTCCAGGTTGGGAAATTCCTGGAGATTTTTTTGGGGGGTAGAGTCTGGGGAGGATGAGGTTTGGGGAGGGGAGAGACTTCAGCAGGGTATAATGTCATATATTTCACCTTCCATTTTCTCTGTGGAAACTGATCACTGAGGCCTGGAGATATTGAAATCCCAGGAGATAACTGGCCACAGCCTGGAGGTTGGCACACCTATGTCCCCTAATTCAGTCCCAACAAACTTCTCTGCGATTCATAAACACTGGGACGAATGAAGGGTGTTGGTTTCTAGCTTAGGAAACTATCTCTGGACAGACAGAATTCTAGAACCTGGAAACCAAGCCTGGAGGGTTCAAGCAATGGATAAAGTCAATAAGATTTGAGGGACAGAGTACATGTTTGTAGGAGATCCACAGTAAAAACAGCCCATAGAGTACATTCCATTTGGCTATGATGCAAAGACATAGAACAGTTGTACAAGTCTCCAGCCTTGAAACAATATATCCACACATGATATGCATGACTGAACCACTTTAGTACAATTTTTGGCATTTTCATGACCTGCCCAATGTGATATAGGTGCAGCTCAGCCAATTTCTTGACCCTTCTGATCAATTGGGTTTTTTATACAATACTTTTTATTAATTTTATGTTCAAATACATAGTCAAGGTAAACAATAAAATTACAAGTAGTTGTAATATTATGGATAGCAGATAACAGTACATAGAATGAGATGAACTTTTAAATCAGTACACAATCACATTTGTTTCAAGAGGAGTAGGAGTATATAAACATCTTAAGAACTAACATATGGGTGCAGACACCATAATAATTTCTGATCAATTGTTTTGATAGCCTTTTGGATACAGTGCCAATTACTTAGTAACTCATTTGACATCTTTGTTTTCTTTTAGGAGAGCTGTATAGCTGTGAAAAATTATATAGATGGCACTTTGGGACATTACATCCTTAATGTGACCTCTGCAGCCAAGCTCTGCAGTAAAGTCCTCTGTAAGAAGAATGGGAGATGCATTCGTAAAGACGACACAATGGATGCCTATCTGCACTTGCCTTCTGGCAGTTTTAAGATGAACCTCGAAGTCTCTAGCGGAGGGGAAGAAATGCATGTAACTGGGACATTGACAGAGGAGGATACAAATAACCTGAGACAGAAATTCAGGTGCCAGTGTTACAAGGGCTGGGCAGGTGATTTTTGTGAGCTGCCAGTTTTCCTAATAAGGGGCAAATATTTTGTTGAAAAAAGCAAATCAGATCTATTCCCATATTCAAAATCTTACTACCAAAATCTTGTTTAGACATGGTATTCCAGTCAAACGGTAACCAAAAACCAGAAGAACCTTTATTAAATATGGACTAGTGTTCCTGGGATGTTAGTTTGATTTATACTAGGGCACTAATCAGCCATTTTACTGTAATATCAGCAAGCTGAGTTTTCCTTACAATGTCCAGAGGTGTGGAATAGTCTTGAACACATTATGGCTTGGCCTCACTAGAGGTTAGATGTCTCAAGATCCACAGGTTAGTTGGTACAGCAATATCTGCTGGTAAAGCCCAGCCAATAATTCTGGTACATTTTTGAGGATTCATTAGCAGTACTTGGGCAGCATGTCTGTCTGTATGCACATCTTCCCACTTTGCAATTTTGATTTTGGCATACAGCTGCAGGTTTTATAAGCTCTTGTTCTTCACTTGTGAATTTCACTTTTATGCATGGTGATCCTCCAGCAATAGCAACTACTCTGACCAGCAACCATTGTAGATGGGGGATTACATTCCATTACTCTACCACGGTGGTCCATCCCCAACCTTATTGAGCTTGCAAGCACCTTTGGATTTTGAGAAGGGATAGCAGGTGCTAACTACAAAATGACCGCCATGGCTGGGTCCAATCCGAAATCATTGGAAGATACCACAAAATGTCGGGGGGTTCCAAACCAAGCATGTTCCTATGATGAAGGTGCTGTGTGCAGACACAAAGAACTCTTCTGAAGCATTTCCTGTACCAAGGAGACAGAAGAAATCCAGGATTAGATCTTTGCTTTGGGGAAGAAGGTGCCAGAAAATACATTAGTGAGGACCATGGTGCCTATGGGCACCATGTTGGGGATTACTGCTCTGCAGTCTTTTTTGTGGATTCCCACCCACTGGTGACAGGTATGCTGTTTTTGGATATCATATTAGATCTACTTTCTAACAGCCCATGAACAACGATTTGTTCATCTAAGGTGCAATTGCATGGAGTAGCCATGCAAGATCCCTGCTACCAAGCCAATACATTCATACATTACACCAGGAGAACACAGATAATTCATAGAGGAGTATTTCATCCATGGCAACTTTAGTAAACCTCTAAAATCCAGTGCTTGGAGGAATGCCTTGGCCTCTGTGCCCTGTTTGTAAGGTCCTTCAGGGCAACTGACATTGCATATCCAAAGCCAGTAGGCTTTCAGCAACACATCATCATATGTCAAGCTTGCCAATTCGCAACATATTGTTAAGGGAGTAAGAATTTTCAAGGTAATCCAGAAAACATCCATCCATATTATGGGAGAGAACAGTTGAAACTAAACATCTATTGGCTAAAAGACAATAAGTGAATCTATAGCAGAGAATATCAGAATCTCACACAGAGTAGATCATTCAAGAAAGTGAGACTCACACCATTCCCTTATGCATACTCATCCCATTATCTTGCTCTCTCACACTAGCTCTTCCACAGAAATCTCCAACCACTTGTTAGTTCTGTCTCACTCCCTCTGTTTTACACACACGTAGCCCCCTATCCTCTTCTCCTGCTAGCTTCCTCAGTCTTCCCAGTCTGGACAGCAAAGTGCCCTTGCTACTCTTACAAGAGCAGAGGGCTGTGGGTTTGACAGAAGGGGAAGCTACCTCAAGACTAGCATGCTTGCTAGCTAGTGGCTGGATGCCACAACTACTGATCATAGGGTAAATGGGCTGGGGCCAGTGTGGCTGACGTTGCTGCTGCTGCTGCTGCTGCTGCTGAAAATGTGCTGGCACCACAGCAAAGCCCCATCAGGCAGTTGGCCCTGTGGTGATCTAGAGACCATCTAGCCAAACTGTCTACAAATAAATCCTTTCCTCTGAGTGTGCAAAACCTAAGCAAGAAATGGTAGACTCACAAAAGCCAGTAAGGCACTTAATGCGGCTACCCCCCCCCCCCCCTTACAGGGCTGTGGAGAGCAGCCATAGCCCTAGAACAAATAGACATCGACACTGATTCTGCCTTCAAGGGATGTTTCATAACAACCCCTTACTTTCATAACAACCCTTTACCCTACAGTGTAGGGGTTTAGGATAGGAAATGTGCCCAATAGACACTAAACAGCAGGAAAGGCAAGCCAATACCAGAATATGGTTTTAAGATTTGACAATATGATAAAATCCAAGAGCATCCATTGTCTCTGGCTTGTCTTCATTGAATGGGGCAGCCTAGTTCAGTCATGGAAGTTGGGGGGATCCCAGAAAGGAACTCCAGAGATTCAGGAAGAGACCTACAGAAAGAGTGGTGAAGGAATAAGCTACCAAACTGGGAGTTCAATTTGCACAGCCCGGAATATATAATATGGGCTTTGGGTACTCAACAAAACAGTTCCAGGGGGGAAAAACGCAACATTTTTATTTCCTGGTCCAGCTTACAACACAGGTGTTTTTACTGCTTCATTTAAAAAAAAAAATAGATCATTTCACAATGCAGACTTGATTTTCACAAGATGTCATGAGAGGCCATCTTAAATGCCTATAAAAGATTAGACAAATGGTTGAAGGATCTCTCCTATATAACAAAAGCGTTTTCATCTTGCAAGATTCCATTCACTCCAAAATCAGTTGGCTTCGTGATGTGTCAATCACAAGGTGTCTCTATCTACTGGCTGTGTTGCCTGAGTTCTCTCCCACCCACTGCAGCCTAGGCCACTCTTCTCTGATTGTGCCAGCGTTTCAAGGTCATTTGCATATGGAAGCTGATTGGACTTCACTCCAGTCCACACCTCAAACTCCACCCTCCCGTGAGACAGTTGGAACTCTCAGTTGCATATGCGACCTGGTGTATTCTGAGGTAAAATATGTCCTCACAACACATCACTTCCCCTTCAAAAGAAACAAACCCAATAACACAACCATGCCACACCACAAAAAAGACAGATCACACCACAAGCAGAATACCACAAGGCAAAAAATGATAGGAAAAGGTGCCAGCAGTCACCCCATTACTGCCACAGTGTTAGCCTGACCACCTCATATACGGCAGAGGCTTTATGAATTATTAATAATTAGGTAATGGTAACTCCCAGTGTATACAGGATGCACAACCCTTGGAGGAAATCAAGTGTACAAATGGAGACGAGGCTAGTATTCTGATGAAAGCAATTGGTTCCTTTTATTTCCTAACTCTAGTTCACATACATACGTAAAAAAAACCCACAGATTCACACACACACACACACACAAGATCCTTTAGATACAATAGAAATGGAAAACAATGACTTTAGAAAATAATAACCTTTAACTAGATGAATGCGAACAGGAAGGGGAAGCGGTTGATACTTATCTGATCCAGAAGAGCTCGACCTCCACAATGAAGAATGCGGGAACAAAAGATCTAGCTAGAGGAATCCTATAACACACAGTTGGAACCAGCCAACACGTGTGGGCTTCTTGGCTGCAGTCCAAGAAAGCACATGAGAATTACCTATAGAGGATCTTAAGTTACAGAGTTGAGGTAGAAGATGGCTAGCAGGGTTCAAACTGTTGAACCTTGCACTTTATAACCTTTGTTAGGGGGCTGGCATCTGTACCATCCTCCCACCTGTAGTCCACCCCATTACCTAACTTTATTGGTTACTAGGAGATGATGTGTCT